TTGGGACACTGCAGCCCTCATAAATAAATGTTGGTCGCCAAGCACCCAAATTTTGCTCACATGGCTCACATGCTGCAACAATTGTAAGTGCAAGGACTAGTTGTGTGTCACTTCTTTGAAGTCATTAAATGAATAGTTGTAGGTCAAGGAGTATCTCTCCTTTCTGACACAATCTTTTAAAAGGCACTTCTATCCTCATGGCACTCCTTTTACACCCAGCTTTTGTTCCACCTTGTAACCCAAGATGGAAAACAAAGGAAAATTAGCCATTCAGAAATTGACTCACATTTCTGTTGTTTTAGCCAGGTGATAGAATCAAGTTCCAGCAGATGTGGACATAAAAATATTTTTTATATTATCCTTATTTTATATCATCATCATAGCAGGAAATAATTTAGATTGCTTACTGTGGTGCACATGGAATGTATTTCTCATTTTCCTTTCTGCAGTAGAAATATTTATCCCCTCTTTCATTAATATTAAAACAATCATCTTCAGCCACAGTTGCATCTGCAAGACAAATACCTGAGTGTGTAACATGCCAGCAGGGTAAAGAATGGCTTAAGAGATTTCAGAAGAGAGATTATTTGCTTATTATTTGCTAGTTAATATTTGCTTATTTGTAATCTATTATTTTGTAATCCATTTTTTATCTAATCCTCATTTTGACTGAATCATTCTCTGTCTAATATAGTACTACACTAAACAGGCTTATTTCATTTTATGGACATAAAAGCTGAAGCCACTTTATGGAAGTTGCAGAAGACCCTGTAGTAAATCAATGGCTGGAGGGGAATCTGAGTACAGCTTCGTTCCTTTGTGTGCTCATTCTCCATTTTCCAAGTTTAACACTATTGTAGATACATTCCTGTGCTGCAATGCAGTGAGGAGGGGGATCCCTGGGTGGGAGGGGGTGCAGTCCATATGAATAAGAGGCAATTCAGCCCCAATATTACATGTGAGCGAAAGAGGTGAAGACAGCTCCTCCCTAATTATCCACAGAGTGTATTGTAGATGCAGATAGTAGAGTCCTTAATCCAGCAAGATTTTGTCTACAGGAGTGAAAGAAGAAAGAACTCAGCTTGTAAGAACCATCATGTGTCATTCTTGGTTTGAGGCCTGTCAATTCCTGGGCATAAGCCTTTCTGAATATAGCTGGATTACTTGCAAAAGAGTGAGCTATTTCCATTCTTTGGAATGTTACATCATTTTATGCTATTTAACTGACCAAAATAAAGATTTCTTTGTTTGAACAAAGCAATGGAAATAATCCAGCAAGCGTCCATTTATTTATTAATCAAATTGATGGATTGATCATGCAAGTGAAACAATGTTCTGATTTCAATTTGGATTTCAATTTGGATTCCCAATCACCATCACATGCCATCTGACCCTTCATAAACAATGTAGACAAGGAGACAGAAGGGCAACTGATCAAATTTACAGACAACGCCAAGCTGGCGGGAATAGCCATCCCTCCAGAAGAGAGGCTAAAGATCCAGGAGGATCTCGAGAGACTTCAACACTAGATCCTATCTAACAAAATTAATTCAATGGTGAAAATAGTAAAAAAAAAGTTCTATATTTAGACGAGAAAAACCAAATCACAGATACAGAATGGGTGATACCTGGCTCAATACTTTAACTGTAAGAGGGATCTTGGAGTCCTAGTGGACAACCACTTAAATACACACCATCAGTGTGCTGCAACTGCCAAAGATCCTAGGCTAGATTAACAGAGGGATAAAATCAAGATCATGTGAAGTGTTAGTACCACTTTACAATACTTTGGGAAGACCACACTTCATTCCAGTTGAATGATGTTGAGATGCTGAGATTCTAGAAAGAAAACCCTTAGAAGTTGTAAGAAGAGATTGGAAATGGTATAAGGCTTCCTGCTTGAGCAGGGAGTTGGACTAGAAGACCTCCAAGGTTCCTTCAAACTCAGTTATAAAACAGAAATGTAATGATGATTAACTATGGTTACAAAAAAGAAAATATCTTTCATTAATGGCAATGACTGTCTTAATCTTTTATAACACCACTATTCTGAAATTCTAAAGTTGACTTACTTGAACCAAAGAGAAAATAACATTGGTAAAACATGATGGGGCACTTCCCATTGTAGCAGTAACCGTGGTTGTATAGGCATGGTAGTCCATTCTTATGGAAGCGATCTGTGGGACACTCAGCAGATTGGCCAGTGCAGCTTTCAGGAATGTCACATTCACTCTCTGCTGCCCGGCATTCTGTTCCTGCTGTCCTAAACTGTGGGTGAGAATCAAAAATACTCCCAGCTATCACTCTTCAGCAGCAGAGGTCAAAGAGTCAAACCATGGTTCACAACACATTTCAAAACCTCCTCTTCATCTGTCTTGAGGATCACCAAGCAAGGCATCCCTGCCCTGCTACAACTGTGTGTGGTGCCTAGAAGTCCCAGTCTGTCTTATTTGCTGTGGGGAAATGATTGCAATGAAAGGCTCAATTCCTGAAACAGAAGTTCTACCTGTTGGCTGACCATAAAGGGAAAATCAATTGGGCTGCCATGTAAAAGCAGCAAAAAGTGAATTGCTGAACTTCTCATGATATATTTTTATTTCTCTACATGGGAAGAAGCATTCATAGAATTTTCTGTCAGGTGCTGAAAAACACGAGGCTCCCTTCTCCTGCTGTGAATCTAGGCTTGTGATGGAAATATGGAAATAACAAAATGTTTTGGGCCACTCTGCTCAAAAAGTTCATTACAGACTCCTTGTTTAAACTGGATTTCCATGCAATCTCAGTTAAAGAACAAATATATTATTTTCGCAGATATGATATAACATGCTGAAAGAGTGCTTTTGAGATTGAGAGCAGATTGAAATTTTATGAAATTATCCTCCCTAAGGTTATGTTTATAAGGGTCAAATAAACTGGAAGAAATGATAGGGATAGGGTTGAAATGTTTTGCTCATAGTAAACAGCCAAGAGATATTACATTTCTAGATGGCTAGTATGGAGTAGGGTAAAATTTCTCCTGGTGTTAAAAATAAACAAGTCTTACTCTGCACTGGTCGCAACACTCTCCAGATTCACACTTTACCCATGAGTGTAGTTTACAGGATGCAGCATCACAGCACTGATATTGACAATTCTGAAAACCAAACATATCAAATGATATCATATTATTTTTTGCCTGGTCTTTTATAATTGGTCTATTTTGAAGAGGGAAACTGCTAAGGAAAAAGACATTTCTGCAATGTGTTCCCTCTTATGGGTTCATGCTAGCAAATGCACAAATTGTTTGTTATTGCAAACGGATAATGACATATCTGTGGAAGAGCCTTATCTGATATTTCCTAGGTGAAAAGAATAAAACAAAAATATCCTCATCTCCTAATTGTGAAGCCCATATAACCTACAACCCCATTCCTTTCTTATTCATGAGGGATTTTCTACTCATCATGCCATCCTTTAAGGTAGTCCAGAGAAGAAGCACCAACCATGAGTATTAACACTACCCTGATTGTAAGGTTACCGTAGCAGAATCTTTCAATACTGAAAGTACATTTCTACCACCTCATCTTTACGGACCAAGAGAATGGGTGGGAGGTGTTGTTCTTGAGATGTTTGCCATGCCCCATTGCTTCTGCAGGCCAATCTACTTCTTATATGACCATTGAGTAGACGTTTCCTTCTTCTTTTGTCTCTCAAGGATATTCTCACAGACCATTACAAGTGTATTTAACAATATAAAAAGAACACTAAATTACTGGTCTTATAAAAAAATATTATTATGATCAGAGCATAGATTAAAGATCATCAGATATGGGAGAAAGCAGCTCAAGAAAATAGTGGGACAGATAATGTGGCCATGTCAACAAAATAGGAGTTTTCAGTAGGGAAGAATTTTCTTGGAGTTGTCAATCACCCATTTTTAAAAATACGCAGTCTTCCCCAAATGGTAGTGAGGTACCAGTTCTCCATTCCTCTAAACATGTTAACCAAATCCAAGTAACCCCTTCATACATGACTACATAAAGGGCAGAAACCTATGCCATTCACAAACCAACCCCTTGGATGGCTCAACTCACTTAGAAAGCCAGATGATTTTTCAAGGATTCCCATTTTTGAGAAAATTTTGCATATTCTTTTTGATTAAAAAAAAAAAGACTTACTTCAGGAGAGCCACAGTCACATTCTTCTCCCACCTCCAAAAGTTCATTTCCACAAACTGGAGGTGAAACAATATCTGTCTTCGAGGGTGCATTGAGAATGCATTTTGGTTTATGATTAGTAAGAAACGTCTGGTAATAATCCTTACTACAATTGCTGAACAGTTCGGATGGTGGATCGCTATAGAGATGAACCAAAATAAGACCATGACATCATCCATATTTGGACTAGGAACAGAATTCATTGCAAAAACATATAAGATGGAAAAGGGATGGATAATGAAGACAAGCAGTGATTTGTTTCCCTCTAAAGCTAACAAAATAGATAAGAGAACCCTTTGTAGCCCTTGATCTTAGTTCCAGATTATGCTCCCTCAGTTTTAATTCCACTAACTTTCTTTTCTTTTTTAACAAAATACATTTGCAATGAGAACTCCATGTGATATTAGTTGATTGAGCTGCATCTTGTGTTTGAGTGAGCTGCCTTTTATTTTCATTTTTAGTCATCCTCTCTGTGGAAGGACAATAATATAATTGAAGGGAAAACAGTGGAATTTTGATCCAGTTTTTCTTTTCTTTTTTTGGAGGGATTGTACTTTTTATAACAATGAAGATAGAGCTAAGTGTGCTAACTCTCTATTTGCCTTAAAGTATTTGTTGTTCATTTGTTTTGTTGAAAAGGGATAATATCAGCAACATGTCACTGAGCTCTGAAGCTGAATACTTAAATAGATGCAAACATGGCATCCTAAGCCCAGCAAAGCACCTTCCTAATGTTAATTCAAATCATTAGGAATATAATCATTGCAGGGGGTCGAAACAAGAACGCAAAGAGAATCTGCTGGTGGCCATTAAATAGACAAGGTGGTCTTCTTCCAAGGTCAAATTTACACCAGACACCTTTGGTGGGGTTAATTGAGCAAAATTGTTTTCTAAGCAAAGTCTTCTGTAGAAAACATCATAAAGTGTCTAGAAGTATTAAAGAAAAATCACGATGCCCAGAAATCCTTCAGGAAGGACAGGAAAGGCTACATGGCATTCTCCATACTTCCTGGCCTCCTTGCCATTGCATGCAATGGGAGGCAATGAAGTCCTAGGGCTTTATTCGAAGAAACCAGAAATTGATCAATAGCTGGGATGCTCACTGAGCCTACACAAAACGCTTACACAAAGATTATGGGGAGTTTTGCAACAGACAATTGCTGAGAAGATTTTGCTTCCTTTTCCCTTTTCTTTTTCCTTCTTGATGAAGTAAGGGCTAAACTTGCACCCGGGAGAAAATATTGGTAGTCCTTGACTTGCTGTCACAACTGAAACCAGAATTTCCACTGCCCAGCAAGCCAGTTGTTAAGTGAGTTGTGCTCAGTTTTACAATCAGCTTGCTCCATTGGCTTTGCATGTGGGAAGACAGCTGGGAAAGTCCCAAATGAGGATCCCATGAATGAAGGATGCTGCAAGCGTCATAAATACACGATTCTGTGACTGAAGGGAGGCTGCAATGGCTGTAATTGCGAGGACCGGTCGTAAGTCACTGTTCTCAGGGCCATTGTAACTTCGTACGGTTGCTAAACAAATGGTTGTAAATCAATGACTTCCTGTACGTTGCTACCTGCTGATTCCAGAAGACTGCAATATATGACAGAGATGTAACATATTCTACCTTGATGAAAGGGCGAGGCAGGAAAACCCCAAGGATGCTAATTTATCTTTTTTTTCCTGCTGTTGCCTGGTTCAGAATATTTTTTTCCCATTCTGCTTCCCACTTTAGGAAAGTCTTTAACGTCTAACTTGGTTTCCTCTTTTATCCATCACAGATATTAATATTTGGTTTCTTTGGCTATGCTTCCTACGCTGTTTCTTTAAACTCTGGTGTTTTGGAGGAAGTTACTGAAGGATGGCTATTCAGTTGTTGAGAATATTTCTACCTTTTTAAATATGACACATTTTAACTACACATGGTAAAGAGACACACAAATGACTATAATCCTCCTTTTTTGTAACTCCCCGACCATTTCATTTTTGTATATTCCCAATATATTTAATTTAACAATTAATTGCAACCATTTAAAAATAAGTTGATTGGAAAGGCATTAAAAGTTTTCCTCAATCCTTACCTTATCACGGGAGACATAATGCATGTGTCACATTTACACTTATCTTTATCATCGTGTTCCATGCCCAGATTATGACCCATCTCATGGGCCATTATAACTGCAACCACAAGATTTATTGGGCTATAATCCTGAAGGAAAGAGAATACTTTGTTTATTGTTAGTCTGCCAAGAAACTGAAAGTGAATCCAATTATTATTAGCACTAGGTGGCTAAACCTGGTGACTAAGTGACCAATTTTAAGTTAAGGATACCATCTTAGGATTCCTCTAGCTCTTCTGAATGTATCTGTGCCCACCAAGACTCCAGAACATTCAGAAGGAAACTTTAAAGTCCAGAAGCCACAGCACAGGAGAAGATCAAACTTTATGCATCCATTTGCTGTCTGTATTTATTCAGTTACTAAAACTTACAGGCAACTTCAGGACCTGGAGATGTCAAATCCATAAATAAATATGGATGAAAATGACGTGGATCAAAACTAAGAAGAGACTTCATTTGTAAAGAAGTTTTGCCTGTATGTAAGTTTTCACTTGAGTACAAATAGATAACAGGTATCCTTTGTACTAACCTGAACAATTCCTACAGAATGCTTCGGGTCACACATGCTGGCTGTGTGAGCCCTTCCTATAGTTGGTCCATCAAAGTCAATCGTCCTATAAGAAAGAAGGATAAAATTGATAGAAGATAGAAGCATGTTCTTTAGTCTTAGGGCATACATAACTATGGATTTCTGTAAATCCCTCATCCCGTCCTCAGTTACTACCAGTTTTCAGAATGTTTTAGGCTCAAGTCTCAGAAGCCATTTAACTAAGCAGATCTGTTAAAAATATTCAGGATGCATTTTCACTATATGGTGAGTTTCGTTGGTGTTAGCATGAATTAGGTTGGGGAATGTTGTCTGAATCCAGCTCATTGTGTTAATTTAATTCCATTAATTATGAAAACCCCAAATACACATTTATTTAATAGATTTTGTCTATCAATTTATCTGTGGGGTTATTGAAGACTAGATGGTTTGGGGAAAGGTGATTGGGTGGAAAGTCAAATCACCATCTGTGGGAAAAATAAAAATGGAATTTTTTGGGGGTAGTTTTTAATATTCTCCCTTGCACTTAGATCTGCCCTCCATCTAGTTCCTATTTCATAAGACCTACTTATTATGCGAGTATCCTGTAAGATTGCTCACAACACAATTGTTATTTGTGCAATATCTTATAGATATAATGTCAAAGCAAGAATCATCAACAATAAACATGTCAGTTTCCCACTCATGAAATTGTATGGGAATATATAGGCTGATGGGGTGTGGAACTGAGCAGTTAAGACAGTGGGCTTGTTGACTGGAAGGTGGACAGTTTGAGACCTAGGTTCTGCCTGATGCAGTGAGCTCCCATTACTTGCTCCAGCTCCTGCCGGCCTATCAGTTCAAAAGCACGCAAACATAAGTAGATAAATAGGTACCATTTCGGGGAAGGTAATAGCACTCCATGTGATTTTGTATAATGCAAGTGTTCATTTACTTGGTGCAGAATGGGAACCAAAACATTATTTAATTGAATTAAAAATGCATGTGTAAGAACAGCAAAAGTATAGCAGGATAATCATAATAGTTTCGATTTTAAATCCAGGTTTTTCACCTGCAATCAGTCAAGGACTTCTCAAAAGCAGCTCTCATCTACAAAATAAGTGGTTGACTTTGATTCAGAAGCATAGTTCACACATGGTTTAAAGCATAGAGCATAGAGCAGAAGCTCTGTGCAAGCATTAACCTCCCCATAACTCTCCACTCCCGGCCACCCCCACTCCCTTTCCCCACAATGAGACCTACGTGAGTAACTGAGCACAATCATGACTTCTCTGCTTCAGCAAGACTGACTCTCTCCAGTCTCCAAATAAGCGCAAAGTAACATCTGATGCTGACTGCACGGTAATCTTATTTTGTTTGGACCAAATTTCTAGGTAAACCAGTGCTACAAGAATATCCAGAGGTTTGTACATCTGTCAGGTAGAAATGGCATCAATCAGAAACACAAACAAAAGTAAACCTTGAGAAACATTTCAAGATTAAAAAGCAACTGATCTCTAGGGGCAGGTGAAAAAAAAATAGATCTTAGATATCAATAGAAGAGAAATCTCTGGAGCTCAAGATTGAAGTCCTTGGTGCTCTCTGTGTTTGCTGCTTTGCTTACTCATGTGGAGTAGTCAAATAATGAAATGTCTGCAAGGAAACCACCAAGCTCAGACAGCACTAAGGACTCTATATATTGGGGAATAATAATAATGTATTAAGCAGGAGAAATAAATAAAAGTATAAAAAGAAGCAGGTGATTATTCTCTGTAAACAGGAACAGAAGACTAGGAGGACTAAAAGGAGAGTTGACTCATCAATCTTCCTGTTCTCTCCCTGTTTCTAGCTGATCATCAACAGTGAAAATGTAAATAAAGCTAATAGGAGACTACAGTATGAGTGTATCTCCTCCTAAGTACCACAATCCAAGTCAAATTGAGTTCCTCTCTCCAGGTTTCTTCTCAGGGATCAGTTTCATAATCAACTGAGCTTGGAATAGGCTGACTCTGCCCATCTCTTTCTAATCTCCAGGATCAGAACCTTTAACCACAGCTCTGAAAGAATCCAGCTACAGATATAGTTCTGATAGAACTCTTGCAACACTTTTGGATTTGTATCCTCCCAACACAGTGGCTGTATTCCCATAACAGGCTTATTAATCTAGTTACTGAATTAACCCATTTTCTGGGATGGCCTCACATACTGGATCACCAGTTAGCTAAATGACCTAGTTTTTCTCACTCAAGGCCACAGAAGTTAGCATTCTTGTAGAAATCCATCTACTCTCTCTCTTTACCTGGCTAAGTGTGTTGTGCTAACACAGTGAAAATCTGGGCTGACAGAAGTTTAAAATCAACAAGTGAAATAATATTCACCATGTCTTCTTACGTTATTTATAGTGTTGACAAGTTGATATATCCATTTTCTTATCCTTTTTAAATTGCCATGGTGTTTCGTGACCTACATAAAAGATAAAAATGTTAAGATGAGATCATAATTATAGGAAGAAGGGAAAAAAGGAGGGAGAGAAAGAACAGATTACTATATTAATGTTTTTAACTTTTCAGCAGCATACATGGGCTTTTTTCCTGGTTGGAGAAAATTTTAGTCAGCCTACTGAAATGCTTTCCTAAATTGGATGCTATATTTCCTTGTTCAGAGATGTGTGAGATAAACATTCTTCACTATACATCTTTTTCTTCGTGTGTTGTACAATTTGGACAAACAAAGAGTGCAGGAATGTCTCAAAGAAAGCTACAGAACTGTTTAACCAGTGAGGGATAAAAATAAATTTAGATGGTATCCAGGAAGAACAAATGTGCAAATTAGAGTATATTTACAAATGACTCTTAACTTTATAAATATTGCTTGGGTTCAATAAGAAAAAATATCAAAGTTTATGATAAAGTACATTTTAAGAGAAAGCCAGTTAGGATGTTTGTTAATCTCTTCAAAAATGCCCACATTAAAAAAAGGCAGAAATAAAATGCTGTGCTCAATGCAGAAAGAAAATAGAGAGATATACAGGATACTTACTATTCCGTGATCCGCAACTATTGCAAGCTTAACGTATCTTCGGGGGAATCTTTGTTGCTAAACAGAACAATAAACAAAAGGCTGTTTAGACATGTTGCTCCCAGCAGCCAACAGGAATGTTGGTCAATCTCAGATAATCAGAAAAGTGCTTGTTTTACTCTCTGGTCAAAATACTTGAACTTTCTGAAATATTGGTTCTCTCAAGAAGACATTTATAGGGAGACAGCTTGTTAAATTTTAGCCCTGGGCCTTGAACCCTTCGGAACTGGGCCCTGGAAGTGGCAAGTGAGCGCCTGCATCTCCACTTGCATGATCAGTGAACAACCATAGGTGGGTGTGCCCCATTTGCATGAGTGGGTGCATGTGCCCATTGCTCGCACAAATAGAGCTGGGTACATGCATGACCTCGCTGCTCACCTGTCTGCAAAACAGGAAAGATTGGGGAACCCTGACTTAGAGAAAGTACTGACAAAGTTTTGAGGAAAAAGTACATTATGCAATGAATTCTCAAGTACAAACAAAAGTGGTCACCTTTAATAAAAAATCACTTTCTTTGTATTAATAAGGGGTGGCACTTGTTTCCAGTTAATCTGTTTTTGGAATTTATGATGCCTACATTTAAAGATAAATGTATATATGAATACCTAATTCTGAACCGAATTTAATAGGAATAAGAACAGGCACATGAGAAAATTGCTCTCTTTGACCTGTTTTTCAGGCTGTCTAAATGATGCTCCAATGACTTTCTCACCTTTCCTTTTCCTTCTCAAACAAAGGATCCCAACCAATCACGTGAGAAACACGGTGATGTGGTCATGCTATGGAACCAATTAGACCTTGCCTGCAATCATATCACATTACGCATCAAAGACAAGGTAAGGGGAGGCAATCAGACATTTTGACCCACTGAACTCACTCTGAATGGCCAAAGAATTATGCCTTTCTTTTGATGTAATTATAAAATGATTACTGAAATATTGTTTCAGACTTCTCAGGCACAAGGAACAAGAAAACATGGTTAATTGCTCAGAGTATTTTCTTTATTGCTGTTCTCGTATAGACAGGAATCTTGCCAGACTAAAGCACACTGTGTGTAACCATGAGATACACCCTGTGAAGGTTTTAGGGAGGATCCCTTCAGGGCTTCTTTCTGCCATCCAAGGACTCATTGCTCATCTGCCTCTTATTTCCCTGGGAAAGAGCAATTTTTCTCCTAGCTCTCTGACAGCCACTTTCTTAACTCTGCTGCACAAGATCCAGTTTGAATAAAGTGATCATGACCTGACATTGAGACAAGAACATTCAAGATAGAGGACCAATTAAGGACCAATTAAACATAATGTATATAATCACAACTTGCTGAGGATAAAGAAACACTGAAGCCAAAAGGCAAACCAGACTTCACAAT